TCAGTGCTGGAATGGGATGGGGTTTGCTCTCTGTTTATATACTGTGGCATGCCCTGCCAGTATTAGCGGGGGTGGGGGTTTTGTTTTGTTCCTCTGGTAGTTCCTTGATTAGGGTATTGTTTACTGCTTGCTTGTGTGCCTGGTGGTTATCTCTGCTTATCTGGGTGATGATTGCTGGTGAGGAGATGTTTGGGTCTTTTGTTTTCTTTTCTATTGTCTGTTTCGAATAGTGTGTAGATGCTGCTTATCTCTATGTGTCTGTTGATTGCTGCCTTGTCTGAATACCAAGCTTCCAAGAATTCCCTTGCATTTTTGGATGTAGCTTGGTCTAAATCTAAAACTGTATGTCAGTTTTTGTCCTATCATCCCTCACTTGCAGTTCTTCAGTGCTGAATAGAGGCATGTATTTATGCAATGAGATAGGGTCCCCAAATCTGCTGCAGTGGGTTCCCCAATTGTGCTAATTCTAATATAGTAAAATTAAGGACATTTGCCTTACTACTCAAATCAGAGTTTTTCTGAAAACTAAAATTGCTAATTCTTTGGTTTTGAATCAGGCTGAAAAGTTAAGAGAAATAATTATTTTTACAAAGCATAAAGCTGAAATTCTTGTGCTGTGATGGCATGGCCGTCAGTAGCATCAGTGTAATGTTGAGGAGAGTGAGGGACTTGAAGTGTCATGTGGAGCAGAGTTGATCCTTGTTCCACTACTCTCTGGTTGTAAGTTATTGTAGCAGAAGGTAGAATAAGATTATCTTGATTTCTCCCTTTCCAAACTGAGGAGAAATATACACTATAAAATATGCAAAAACAAAACCCTGAAGGCTTTGTAAACGTTGTAATTCTGGAAATTATGCTGTGTTTGTTTTACAGCTTGTAGATCCTGGAGTCAAAGCCTGGACACCCACAAAAGGAAAACAAAATATCATCATGTTTGTAGGCTTGCAAGGAAGTGGCAAAACAACCTCGTGTTCAAAGGTAAATTTTATTCTGCATGTTATGTAAAGATTTTTTTAGGTAGACTTTTGTTGTACTGGACTACTCCGTATCATGTGAGTGCATTTCCATTTAGATGGCTGAGCTTCAATCATTTCTATGTTCTTGTATGTACTCAAATCTGCTCCAGAGTCTCCTGAACAAAATTGGTAGGTGCACAGAAAGGGTTAATAAAACTTTGTTTTGCTGCTAGATCCCAACCCATAAACAGAACTGAGCTGGATTTTAGAATACTGTATTAAAGTGTGAGGTGTAGGAGCAAGCGTTAGTAGGCAAAATCTAAATCTATAAATTAGAGAAATATAAGATGAATATTTTACTTCAGTCCTGTACCTGTCAGCATTTCAGTACACTGTTTTAATCTTGTCTAAACTCTGAGTCTTCCCATAGTTTAATTCTGTTACTATCCAGGATTTTCATCTGAGAAAAGTTCACATTTCTGAAGTGGTGCTTTTTTATCTAACATGTTAATTTTTGAATTATCTTATTAGAATGAAGCCTATGTGTTCATAATAGTAGTTTTGTTGGACTTATTTCAATAAAGTTTATGAAGGAGAGGTTCCTGGTGACATAATGGTATTTTAAAAGACGTTTTCATTTCAGTGCTTTATATCTAATAGTGTAACATACCTACAGTAAGCAGTTATGTGTCAAACCTACCATTCCAGAAAGGTTCTCCTTCTTCTTCCAGCCCTTCTAATCTGACTGTTTGGGAGCAGGATGTGGATTTCCAGAAGCTAACCTCCCGAATCAGAAGAGTTTTATGGTTTCCAGATGTGATGTTCCAGATTGAAATAAGCTTGTTTGGAAGCTGGACCACATTCTGAACACCTGAACTGCTTCTGTTTCAGTAGACTGATTTCCAGAAAAGTGCTGGACCACCACTGGAAAAATTGGATCAGTACATTCAGGAAAAAAGGAACATTCCAAAGAAGCCTAGAATGTTCCATTCCTGGAGTAGTAGGTTTTCCACATCAATAATTCTAAATCACTTGGGAAAATTGTTTTTGACCAGCACATGTACATTTTAAAATAAAATGTAAAAAGGTATACTATGAAACTAAGGTCCATATTACATTTTCTTATGTTAGGTCTTTACAAAGTGAAGTTTTTATATATGAAAATACTGTGAACTATATTGTTTTCAGTCCAATATGATATATGACCTATGATGCAGACCAACTTCTGCATGGTTCATTGCTCCTTGTGTAATAAATATGTCAGGTCTTATTGAAAGACAGGCTTTTGTAATCCAGGTATCTAGAATTTATTAGATTTTCTCATAAAATTCAAAAAGGTTGTTTGCATTACAGTTGGCAAAGTTGACAAGATAAAAATGACTGTGGTGGAACATGAGAACATCAAGTAATTAGTAGTAGACAGGGTAGATTTATAGTTTAGCTCTATAATTGTTTGTACCTTAAAGTAGCTGATAAAAGATAGATGTTTCTGAGCTACATATATTCTCTTCTATTGATAGATGTTTCAGTCTTTGGAAGGGCAACTTCAAATAAATGAAAACAAAAAATGTTTTTAATATTAGTTTATAAGATTACATCTTGATTTTTTTAAATTAACAGTTGGCATATTATTACCAGAAGAAAGGCTGGAAGACATGTTTGATATGTGCAGACACTTACAGAGCAGGTACAGAGGTTAATTATTTTTAGTTATTTTGTTTTTGATAGATGTGTATGTCCTAGACGGCTAACAATATTTGCATTCTGTAGGTGCTTTTGATCAGTTAAAACAGAATGCGACAAAAGCAAGAATTCCATTTTATGGAAGGTATGTATAACTACCTTTTTTATGTAAAAATGGATTATCCGGTTTTGAGATTGTGTGTAGAAGTTCACTGCACAGATTTAGATAAAGCTAGAATTTTATTGTGATATTGTCTTGGTTAATATTTATCAGAACTCTACAAAAGCTTAATAGCAAAGTGTCTTAAATTCAAGTAAAAATATGTTCAGATTTAAGTAGAATTTCGTGGAAGAATACCATCATGCTATTTCATTTAATTACAAATTGTGCTGCTGCTTCCACCTGTAATACAATTACATTGAAGATTGTGTAAACATAATTGCACAACCATTTCTTGTAAGTAAATTAATTTGTCTATTATCATAGCTCTGAACACCTCTGTTTACCAAGCTGAGCAGTTTCTCTGGAATAATGAATGGACACGCTATTCCATATTTATACGTACATAAACATAAACTTCCTAAGTTTGTGTGTGTGTTTGTGTGTATTTATCAGACATTTTGGAGTTAAACTAAATTATTTAGTTAAAGAATCAAATTAACAATGAACATTCAGATTTAAAAATATCCAATGCCTGTTATTTCAAATAATTGTTTCTCTAGAAGAAAGAGAGTCATGGCTTGTCTGCGAAAGGAAAAAAATATGGAAAACTCATTTGATATATTAATGTCTCAAAATAGCAGAATTCAGCTTTATTTTCAAGCCTTTTCTTATTGCCATGATGCAAGGCTACACAAAATGTTTTGTTTCAAACTGTTTCAAGCATGTAACTTCACAAAACATAACCTTTCTAGTCCTATACAGGTTGCTTAGAGCATTCTGGAAATGGTTTGAATATATTTTTGAGCTTGAAATTACCCCATTTCACACTCAAAACTGCAATCTTGTGCTTGGAACAGGACATTCTAATGGGATGTTTTGTGCTCAAATTATTTGAAATGAGGTGTTTTACACACCCCTTTTATAATGCATGTCCTAGCCCTATTGTGTTCTCTTCCTCTGTTGTGGTTTAATTTTGATTATGCTAGCTAGATTCATACAACATGCTAAACCAAAACCAAATGTACATTGTATGTGTGTTTATGTGATTACAAAAAACAAAACTGATAAAAGTCAGGAAAAGTAGTTTTCTTATAGGTCAAATTTATTGGAATTCTTCATTTAAATAAATTAGACTTGATGGCTAATTTTTTAACCATAAATAAAGGTAAGAGCAGTGGTCACTAATGAGGCATTCACAGCATGCTCCTTGGCAACTCTTGACTGGTACAATAAAGCCTAAGCTATCTGATCCCCACCACCACCACATGATGGATCTCTCCCTCCCTTCCTTGCTTGCTTGCCTGTAGCAATTATAGATGCTTCCCCCAGAGCTCAGCACCTGCTTCAGAGTAATTTTATAACTTCATATCAACTTAAGCATCTGTTTTCCTTTGAACTAGTTACACAGAGATGGATCCAGTAATTATAGCTTCAGAAGGTGTTGAAAAATTTAAGAATGAGAACTTTGAAATAATAATAGTTGATACAAGTGGTCGTCACAAGCAGGAAGACTCTTTGTTTGAAGAAATGTTACAAGTTGCTAATGCCATAGTAAGTATTGTTTGAGTAATGCTGAATGAAAGTCCTTCCAGAAGTAGGATTTGCAAGCTGTATAATGCTTCTTGAATGTTAAGCAAATATCTTATTTACTGTTGATCATATGCTAATGCATTTGATGCCATCTTCACCTGCATGCCACACAAATCTGTTGTAGAAAAAGAATGGATTCTTTGGAGCAGATTTGAGTTGGTATGGGATGGAGCAAATAAATCTTGATACATGAGTGAAAGTCCATTTGCTTATACCCAATAAGCAATTTTTAATTGGAAATGTTCTTTATCTTTCAATTATTGTTTTTATCAGGATTATAGAGTTGTTTCCTTTTATAAAATTGTAGTTACTAAGATCTTAAATATACAGCAGATGTAAAATATGCACATCAAAGCACCATGTTTATAAGCATCTGTATTATTATTATTATTATTATTATTATTAAAATGTATATGCTGCCTGACTCATCTGCATTCAGTGGGACTAGAAAATGGGCGTGTAAGATTAGCAGTGTTCATTTCTATTTGGAACAGTTGTGAAGAAACCAACTCCCTCAAAATGGTCACTCTTTAAGGGCTAACACAGAACTCAATATACTGATGCTAGAATAAATGTATGAAGACTGCTAATAGAGTAAATGTGCTATGAAGACACACAGAGACAAAAAGTAGGATTTCCATTCTTCTAGAAATTAGAAATTGAACTAAAATTTGAATTGGACAAACATCTTATTTAGGTCAAATCGTCTTCAACAATTGGCAGCATCTCTTCAGGACTGAGGTGAGGGTTTTCCCCTGCTTACCTGAAGACATGAAGGACTGAACCTTGGATTTACTTACTTACATGGAAGTGTGCTTCCCAGCTGAGATAATGACTCTTCATTACACATTAAAGTAATTTAAATTTAGAATAAATCTGTATTTTCATGAATCATTGTTATCTCCCTTAATGAAACTAGTATACCACTGTTAGATGTTTAGCATGACTTACAGTTTATTATCACTATGAAGTGAGCAAGGATAAGAGCTCCTGATTTCTGTTTCCCCTTGCTTGTGTCATTGCTTCCAGCAACCAGATAATATAGTTTATGTGATGGATGCCTCTATCGGTCAAGCCTGTGAAGCTCAAGCAAAGGCTTTTAAAGATAAAGTTGATGTTGCTTCTGTAATTGTGACAAAACTTGATGGCCATGCCAAGGGAGGTGGAGCACTGAGTGCGTAAGTAGTTTTTATTTAATGGCTAAGCAACATTGTGATGCCTATAAATAGCTGCATAAAATAAAGAGTTCTGAAAGCACGGAGTTGATCCTGCATTTGATACATTTTCCAGCTCTTCTAGCTTTGCTTTTTGTGGAAATTGAACCATGAAGAACTATTGTCTCTTCACTGCTTACTGTATTTTGTTGGTACTGGGAGGAAAAACTGAATTTTTCAGGGTTTTCAACTATCAGGGTTAAGTTAATTCTTCAGATTTCAAAACTTTAATGCAGAAGAGATGCATCCCATTCTTTTCTTAAATCTTTTCTGTTTTGAAATTCAAAAGTATAAACTGTGTTTCACTACAGAGTTGCTGCAACTAAAAGTCCAATCATTTTTATTGGAACTGGAGAACATATAGATGACTTTGAACCTTTTAAAACACAACCTTTTATCAGTAAACTTCTGGGTATGTATTGTTCACTGCACAAATTTAATAGCTAAAATTGTATTTTTTCTGAGTTGTAATGGATTATGTTTCAGTTGTTGAAGAAGTGTATTTTATATTACAGGCATGGGAGATATTGAAGGATTGATAGATAAAGTAAATGAATTGAAATTAGATGACAATGAGGCACTCATAGAGAAACTAAAACATGGTAAGCTATGCCTGAAACTTTCCTAATATAGCAGCTTCAGCAGTTTAATTCTCTTGTTCATTTTGTTTTGAAAGATGGGATGAACCATCTGATTTATAATGTACAAGTTTAATTGTTACAATGTAATGTTTTAACCATTCAGGTCAATTTACATTGAGAGATATGTATGAACAGTTCCAAAACATAATGAAAATGGGGCCCTTCAGTCAAATACTGGTAACTATAATAACAAATACTGGTAACTATAATAACTGGTAACTATTTATCTAAAAACCACATAACATATTAATATTCACTTTGAAGTGGCTTTTAACACTTTTTTGCAATTATTATAGGGTATGATCCCGGGTTTTGGAACAGATTTCATGAGTAAAGGCAATGAACAGGAATCAATGGCAAGGCTAAAAAAACTGATGACAATAATGGACAGTATGAATGATCAAGGTAATATTTCTAGCATAACTGAATGACAAGGGCTGAAACATGTTTATTCCGTTGTCAGAATAATGAAAAATCCAAAACGTATATTCATATATTTTTCATTTTGTGATTTGTTATGATTTAAACATTGGACAGGGTCCAGCTTTTCCCTGTGTGGCTGGAAAGGCTTCTTCTGTTTATTGGGGGGAACTAAGATGAACATAGACTTGTCTGTGTAGAAAAGGAATAGGGTGTCAATTTTCTCTAATGCCGCATCCTTCCTACTTTAGGGGCTTCACTTACACAAACTGAATCCAAACCTATATTTTTATTTTTTTTAAGCAGATTTAATTACAATCTTGCTAATTATATTGAATCTTAGTATTTGCTTCATTTTTTTAAAGTTTCTGTGGATTATTTAAGGTACAGAACAGTGCCAATCTAGTAGTAGAGAATTTTGAGAGAAATTATCTTTTTAAAAAATCTATAAATTCTACATTTTAACACTGTTGAACATGAAGAATTCCTCCTTTATCCATTACTTCTCTAAATTACAGAACTAGATAGTACAGATGGAGCCAAAGTTTTCAGTAAGCAACCAGGAAGAATCCAAAGAGTAGCAAGAGGTTCTGGTGTTTCAACTAGAGATGTTCAAGAACTCCTGACACAGTACACAAAATTTGCACAAATGGTGAAAAAGATGGGAGGCATTAAAGGACTTTTTAAAGGTGAGAATCAGTACATATTTTGATTATTTATTATACATGCATATATTGGGCATTCTGGATTGACTCAGTTGCTTAATACTAGAATCATAGGGTTGAATCTAAGGCATCCATCTGCTGATAAGCAGCATTTAGTGATGGAACAGATTTCTTCTCTGTCCTGTTCCTGTTCCACACTACCTATTATGCATCTGCTCAAAAAGATAGAAGAATCCTCCACAGAGCAGATTTGGGAGACACATGGAAAGGAGAAAGAGGTGAAGTCTTACTACATGATCAGAAGTCTTTATGGATGCAGCCCATACATTCTCTAAGTTAACTTATAATAACAATTCTGATGTCTTGTATTGTACAATTTAGTACATAGAGGTTAACTTTCTAAAAGCTATTAACATCTTTAGTGGAAACATATGCTAATTAGTTCTAAAAATTACAAAGACAGCTAATCTGTACAAATTTGTTGTAGAAAGAAAAGTATTTTCATACATTTATGAAATTTCTGCAGAAAACTATCATAACCCGTATTGAACAGATGAGAAGCTGCAACATTTATTTATTTATATTGCTTGCATGAACTGCTGACTCTAGCAATTTAAAATGCTTAGCTGCCAGCACACCAATCAGAAGAGGCTAAGAGAATTTTCTACTATTTTGATATATTTCGTTACTGTTCTTTCTCTCTTCACCACTCCTTTTTTCTTTCTCTTAAGGAGGTGATATGTCAAAGAATGTAAATCCATCCCAGATGGCAAAACTGAACCAACAGATGGCAAAGATGATGGATCCCAGAGTTCTCCATCATATGGGTAATTATGCTTTTTCTTTGCTTGCTGCAGGAGTGGGCTTGAAAGCTAATGGTTCCTAACAGTTCCAGAAAGTATTTGAAGATCACCTTCTGTACCTCTTAGAGACTGAACTCAGAAAGCAATTTTGTTGTGACAAAATTATGTTTATGGTGCAGTACATATTAGTATGCTGGAGTGAAAAGTAAATTTTGTCATAATTCTTTTCAGTAAACTGAATTAAACTATGGAATGTCTGATATTTTCTGTGTCTGTTTCAAAAATTTAAATGACAAACGTATTATTTCTTGGAAGTACCAAATTGTAGAATAAAGATAGTTTTAAAGAAACTTTATGAGTTTCACACAGCAGAAAACAGCTCTGAATGCTGATTTTTCTTCCAAACAACATTGAGGGAAATTTATTATGTACAGTCTTACATTTGCTAGAGATCTCGTAACAACTGGATTATTTGAAAGCTGGTGCAAAAAAACTTTAATAATAACTATTATTAATTAATAATAATAATTAAAAATTATTATTATCATACTTTATTTTTCTCTATTTTCTTAATACTTTTTTGAGTGCAGTCTTTTTTCTTTTCTTTTCTTTTTGTTTTCCACTTCATTTCATGTATCAGTGTCTGGGATTCAGAGAATTTCTTTATAACTAACCAAGAGTACCAATATTAGTAGAAACTTTTATGCGTTTTATTTGCATGGCACTTCATTGTTCACTATAGTTTTCTTTGCAACTGTTTTTGAAACCAAGGAGATACTGAATGTGACATGAAGGGTTGCTGTTTAAGAAACAGTAGAAAAAATAATTTGGGGTAAATAGACCTAATTCTATAGTTCTTTAGATACCAGTTATAGTTTCTATATAAATATTCTGTTGTAAATAGGCTTCCCCAAAATTGTAGTTGTGCCCATATTTAACTTTAATATTTCATTCCAGGTGGCATGGCAGGATTGCAGTCAATGATGCGCCAGTTTCAACAGGGTGCTGCTGGAAATATAAAAGGCATGATGGGATTCAATAATATGTAAAAGCAGCCTTAATAAACTGACTTGATTAACCATTATTTGCTGGAATATTTTTAAAAGAATGAGATCTCCTTTTCTGCTGTGGAGAATAATGCAGCATTATACTTCTAAAACATCAGTTTGGAGAGTTTCCAGTTTTACATCTAGAAAGTGGTTATATTTTTGCTTCAGTTTATTTCTGTTTCAGTTTTAATGTTAACTTGGACATGTTTAAAAGAAATCATGTATAAATTTAATATTTAGAGGAACTTTTTAATTGTTTCAAACGGCAACTGTTATATTTGTAAACAATTCAGATCTTTGGTTAATGCCAATTTGTCACAAATATACTGTAAAATAAACTTACATGGTTGTAAATTTAAGAGCTGATTTTTGTGCTTACACTGGACTTTAGAAATAAGTCTGTTGCAAGGAAATGTTTACTGCTGTCAACGTGCTTCAGGAATGAATTTCGGTGCTCTCAGTTGCACCCTCCCTTGAGGCAAGTTTGGACGATAATACAATTATATGTCTTGTTTCCTGATACTCAGTTTGCTCTATTCACTAGATCCTAGGACTTATAAAATGACTGTGCCCCAAAGTGTAATTGTGGTTTGATTTTGAAGAATACATTGCTTTTGCACAGCCCTATCTAGAGCCTCTTACAAGTCATTATTGATTAAAGACTACAGAATTATTTGCATTCTAAAAGTATAGGAACTACAACAATTTTTATGAAGAGTTTGGGAAGACTTAGTTTATATGTTATACTAAGCTATATTCTGGTTACATGGGTTATTAAAGTTGAGTGCCTTAACTTGTTTCTAGCCAGGGCTTTTCCTAAATAAGAGTCTAACATGTCATTTTAGTCCATACCTGGCATCAAACTGGGAATTAACTCTCCCTTTTGGCCAGAGGCTACAACGGTCACAGAATGGGCTTTTCCAGCTGCAGCATCTTTACTCTTAATGATGATTTGGAAAAAAAATGATTGATTGTGGTAACATGGTTTATGAAATGCCTCTTTCAAATATTTTGTACAACTTCAATAGTCATATGCTAAAAATAAGCAAGATAACATTAGAATAGGAGATCCTGTTCAAATCCTATGAAATTTAACAGGGAAAAGTGTAAAGTCATCTAGGTAAGAAAAATGAAAGAAACATGTAGAGAATGAGGGAGAGCAGCACATATGAAAAGGACTTGCATGTACTAATGGATCACAAGCTCAACATGACCCAGCAGTGTAATGCAGCTGCAAAGAAGGCTGATAACACCTTGAGCATCAAGAAGAGCATAGAGTCCAGATTGTGGGAAGTAATTATCCCGCTCTACTTTACCTTAGTCAGGCCTCACTTGGAGTATAGTGTGCAGTTCTACACACCCCAGTTTAAAAAAGACATTGAGAAAATGGAGCAAGTCCAGGGAAGGGCTACCAAGATGGTGAAAGGACTGGAAACCAAGTCCTTCAAGGAACAGTTAAAAGTTATAGGTATGTTTAGCTTGCAGAAGAGAAGGTTGAGAGGGGACATGATAGCTGTCTTCAAGTATCTGTAGGGCAGTCCCATTGTAGAGGGTTCAGACTTATTCTCACTTGCCCCAGAGTAAGACTAGAACTAATGGGATGAAACATCCAAGGGCATAGCTACAGATTAGACATTAGGAAGAACCTGACAATTAAGAGCCGTCAGTCAGTGAAACAGGTTACTGCATTGACTGCAGGTTTTCAAACAGGCTGGATAGTCATCTATCAGGAATGGTGTAGTGAATCCTGCAGTGTGCAGGAGGTAGGAATTGATGACCTCTTAGGTTCCTTCCAACTCTATGATTCTATGTTAGGAGAATTCAGTGTAGCTATCATCCAGCTGACGAAGGTATACCAGCTGGGTTAACAAAATGTTAATCCATGTTTGGTTGATTTAGATTTAGCATGTTGCATAAGCCCAACTTCTGTGGTTTGGTATGTATTCATCAGATCACAGATGGCTAACAGTAATAGTTTGTATACATACAAATTTTGTTCTATTAAATATGGGGTGGATGTGATATTGTACCAAGACTTTTCTAAAGTTAATGGGAAACAAAATTATGATTAATATACAGGATGTCCTGCATTTGTATCCATTTAGTTTTCCAATTTCCAAGGGACTTGTGTGTCTTGTCTGAGGATGGAAACACATATGACTTATCAACTTGATTTTATATTTTAAAACATAGAATATTCATTTAATTTTTTTTATTATGCTTCTACAAATCCAACACATACAAATTCAGAGTCTACTCTGATATTCTTTGCAGGCTGGTAAAGGTCAGTAGAAAGAAGTGAGGCTGACATATGAAAAGAGGTTGTGTAGTACAGTGGGAGAACACTCTTCTGCTGCACTGAACACCTGTCAGCTGTTTAGTGGGCAGTTTTTAAACATGGGTTTTCAAATCCAAGTCTCCAAGACAGTAATTTCATACAGTAAGACATCTGGTGGCTTCAGGGGAAGCAGCTGGGTTGAAAGATCTGGACTCTGGTTGTTAGTATCTTTATGCTGGAGAAGAAAGATCTGGAGTCCAAAAAGGTCTGGACTCTTTCATTGTTCAAGTAAGAATGGCCTTGGAGGCTGCTGCCCAGGACTGCGCACAGCAGCCTAAAGCAGCCAATATGAGCTGGCAGACTTCATTTCCTAGGGTTCACCTGACAGTGCCACTAATGGCCGGTGGAGTCACGCTGTGACTATGGTCACAGATTTGTGGAAGCTGCCTCAAGTGTGGGCTGGTGATAAGATGAAGGCAAAGTCATGAGGAAAAAAGATGTCGCCAGGGCATATTTGCACCGTGTTTAGGGACACGTGGGAAAAGACCCTGAAACCGGTTTATATCTACAGTGTAATGTGTCAACCGACTGCAGTCACGTGCTTCGTCGTGCTTTCACAGAATGAAGGCCCGAGTCTGGATGACATGCGACGCCCCTCTCCCTCTGTCACCAAGCAGGCGGGCCCACCTCTTCTGGCTCGTCAGATGTCTGTCGCCAGGGCAGCGCAGAGAGCCACTTCTACGAGGTATCCTAGCAACCACCAAGGCGGGGTGTGACCGGCGGGCGGACCGGCCTCTGTGAGCTCACTTCCCAGGGCCTCCGCCCCGGAGAAGGGCTGGGCCTGGCGTGATCGTCGCGGGGAATATCTCTCACTCGGGTAGGGGGACTATGGAGCAGGGGCTCTCCGCTTTTTCCTTGTATTGCGCCCCAGTCGCTGCCGCCGCCGCCTACGCCATGGATCAGGAGCAGGTGAGTGTCCCTTTCCTCCGTACGCGCGTCAGGTCCACGGGGAGCCTGGCTCTTTCCTACCGTGCCTCGTCTGCCATGCCTCAGCTCTCCCTCGGGCAAGGCGCGACGGAGGTGAAGCTCCCTTTTCGGTCACTTGTCAGACGACGTGGGCCTTCTTCCGTGAGCGGCGTCCTTACGGCTTTGGGGCTGGCCAGGTGACGGCGTCGCCTGTCCCATAGAGGGCTAGGCCGGAGGAGGTCCGTGCAACCGCAGGAAAAATGAGCGTCGCATGATCTGCCTTCAAATACAGCCCCCATCACCTGTTGGTGGGAGCTTTAGCCCAGCACGCCTGGAGAATGACCCATGGGAGAAGACGAGTATATGATGGTCATGCTCTGTGGCACATGGCAGGCAAGCATTTCTTGGAAGCTCTCACATAGCACAGGTAATGGCTCCTGGTCAGGAGATCTTAAGGAAGTGTAAGTGCTTAAAAATCAGCTTCTAAATGTAACATGCTTGTCTGCTTGATATTTAGCTCTTGATTTGTGAAAGAGCTACTGCTTCTAACAACTGCATGCCTCCACGGGTTCCTTCTTCAGTTTCCAGTACTAATCTCTTCTGTAAGAATGTGTGTTGTGGTCAAGAGATTCCCAGTCAGTGGGGGAATCTTGTGATTTTTGGAAGTTTGGTTGCTGTAAGGAAATATTTTTTATAACTGCATCCTATATTTTGCATCCTACATTTATAACTGATTGGCTTCCAGTGTTTTGTGTAAAGTAATACAAATTCAGGGAGCTTCCCAGAATTTGTCAGTCCAGGGGTTGGGAGAAGTGGTGGGGGAAGAAGAGTTGCCCAGAAGTAGGACCTAGTGTTACTCATGTACCTTCCTCATTCTTTTCTGGAATCTTTCTCTTTGGGGAACTGATTAGAGCAAATAGATGAATTTGTATACCTTGGTAGAATACGTCTTGAAGATGAGAAAATGGATAGAAAAACTGTAAGATGTAAAATACTGCTAGAAAAGTAATGGGTAGCATGTCATCTGTTGCAAGAAATGAACATTTGTTGAAAGAAGAAAAAATGACTCCGCTAAAAGCATGCTTCTGTCCAGTTATATGGAAGGGAGAGTTGGTGTGTTGGGAGAATCATAAAAGTAAGGTGAATGCAATGGGAATGGGATACTTAAGTGCATGTGGTAACATTTATTTAGTAATTTACTAGTTTTATAAGTGTACCCAATTCAACAACAACAAAACAAGCAATAAACCAAAAAAACCCCACATAACATTAAAACATATATAATATGGTAAATATAAGATACAAAATAAAAAAAATGGCAACCAAGCACCATAACAAAACTACCCAAAGGGGACCATTCAACTGACCCCTAATGCCTGGGAAAAAAGCCAGGTTTTAGCAGTTTTCCTAAAGGTGAACAGAGTTGGGGCCTGTCATATATTGTGTGTATAAGAAACAATAGGGTGAAGAACAAATAAGTGATCAGTACAAATATGAGTGATCAATACACAAGAAGTATACTGAAATTGCCTGATCAGACAGAGAGAATGAATTGCAGGACAAGTATCTGAAGGAAGAATAAATTGGTTGAGTGGAAGGGAAAGACCTTTAAAGTAATGGCTGGATGGAGATAATGAGGCCCTCCAAAGAGAAAAGTAAGAAATTTAAAGAACAAAAGGCAGTATCTGAATTAGTATATGCATGCAGTAGAAGCAGAGATAGTTTAAAGAGAGATACAACAAATGATGCTGGCATAACTAGATATAATCATTTCTCTCTCCCTCTTATATCCCGCCTTAATTTTTTTTTTTTGCTCACTTTACCATTTTTCTGTGCTTTGCACAACATTGCTTATCTCAAAACAGAATATAATTATGAATTTGAATGTATCAATGTGGGAAATGGATAGTCATATGGAAGTGGAGGGAACTGGAGGAAGTTGTTATTGTTATTATTATTATTACTACATGTTGTTTAATAATACACTTTGCTTTCTAATATTTACATTGCAACATAGAAAGTTATTCTACATTGTTACTTGTTCATACCTCTTCAAAAAGAACTGGCAGTAGGTAGCGGTACAGGTCTTAGCAGCTGCAGCATTAACGTTTTTTAAAACTACCATATTTTAAAATATCTAACTTTTTTTAAATAACTGGAACTTCTTTATTTTATGCTATGGAGAACAAGATTGTACTAATTTGTCCAACAAAATAGCTATGCCTAGATTTAAATAGAATATTCTATTCTAAAATAGAATCAGTAGTAAATGTATATCCTCCACTGCTGGTGGCTGGGTGCACAACTCAGGATTAACTTTGAAAAATTCTGGATGTAGTTGATTCCTAATTAACAAGGCCTGAAGATCTAGAAATTCTTGAACCTTAATGTATTGTATGTCATCACTTTCTAGTGGATGAATTCATTAGTAGTCCCAGTTTTCCGTATAGGTATAAATACATTTACAAATAAACTGTGTTAAACTGTGATGGACATAATCTTTTCTGCTACCTTGATATTGCATTATTTACACTCACTATTTTGATTTCTTGTAATTCTGTAAGCAGATCCCTGTTACAAATTAGTCTGCTCAATTATTAAATGAAGACTGGTTTTGACTTTCAGCTAATTGCACAAACTTGGCATAGGATTGTCAGACAGTTGCTGTACATGTAATGGATGCTATTAGAAGCGACTTTTAAAGCTAACACAACCATGTTTTACATACATTTGTGATGCATTTATATATTATCTATAGTTTTCAGCTGCTAAAGATAATTTGACTCATGCAATCCAATAAGTATGGCATGGCTAAGTCTAGCACACTGTGCCAACTGGAAAATGCATTAACCTTGGTTTGTACTAAGTCTGCTTACCTCAGTCATTCATCTGTGTGTCATTGACTTGGTGGGAAGAGGATAATATTCACTCAGCTCCACCTCTTGCCTCCTGACACAGAAATGAGAAGCAGGAGACTCTACAAAATGGGCCCTTTCTAATTGCAGTATTTCTTTATCTCCTGGCTTTCTTTTTATCCTGTTACAATTGGGTGGAGAGTAAAGTGGGGAAAGCAAAGGGTTGAGGGAGGCTACCATTCCTCATACCATGTCTCCAACCCTTATTAGACCACTTCTGTTTTTTAAAATATTTTTTTCAAATGCCTGACCACCATAAGGGTACTTGGAATATTTAGTGAAAGGAAGGCGATTGCCAAAATATTGGTTATGGTTTGCTGCATTATTTCAAGAGTCTTTGAACCATAATTAATGCAAACCCTATCTTAGCATATCTGGCAAATGTGCTGTCTTCAACCATAAAAATTAGAATTAAAATGTAGTAAATTTTCTGATTGTTGTTCTTTTTTGACCCTTAGTATAGCCAGAAAAATTTTCAATCAAATGTTCTTGATTTTACTCCTTCCTCCATTCTGGTGATGATACCAGAACTATTGCTTTCTCTATGATAACTCCCCAGTCTTTCCCACAAAATGTAAGTCTAAAACATACTAAGGCTTCTGTTCTCCCAGTATATTTGCTGTGTAAAGCATGTTGGTATCAAATACACCTAAAACAATACTGTATTTTATTTGTAATTTAATAACAACAATATACAAAGCTGTTCTCTTCCCCTGCTAAGGCCGATAATGCTGAATTTGAAGGAAAAGATTTCAGGTCTACTGAGTGATTTCATTCAAGCTTGAGATCAAATTGCTTTTATTTTATTATAAGCTCCATCGTAATTTCTAATTGTCTGCCCTTCCATTATAGGTTGCCTTGGAATTATTTGCAGTACATCAGGAGGCCCCAAAACTCTTGGTCTTCTGAAAGGCTGTAAAGACCTGGCTTTTCCCCCAGATGTTGGCCCAGGGTGTCTGTTGACCCCAATATAGGTGTAGTTGTATGGCATTGTGTTAAGATGCCTTGGTTGATTGTGGGTTTTCAAATGTATTTTTTGTGGTTTGTTGTGAGCTGCTTAAGGATATGTATTTAAGATGGGCAGCCATATAAATTTTCTAAGCAAATAAAATAAACCCAATGAAGACAATGTCATGAAGGGGCAGCATAAAAAAAGGAAGGCCAAAGTATGTTTCAGCCATAGTTAGTTACTAAAGAAAGGCTCAATAACATTTATATTCTGTCTTTCCTCCAGCAATTCAAAGTAGAGTGTGCATAATTCCCCTCCCCTGCTGTTGGCCTTGCAAGGCAAACCCGATAGGAAACACAACCAGATGAGATAATTCTACTTTGTTGTAAAGCTACATTGACAGAATCTTGCAGATCTGAAAGTACATTTCTCCCCCATCTCCTTTACAGCCCAAGAAAATTAGGGAAGGTCTCTGCTGAGCCCCGCCCACTATCCAGCTGCAGACTATGCTGTCTCTTATCTGACTGTTTCCATGGCAGTGTCTCTTTGCCCAGTCTCCAGTGGTCTTTCCCACATACCATTACACCTTCCCATTTTTTTCACCACAGTAGATTAAGCAAGAAATGGTGGCTGACCATCATTGTTCCATAGGTTGAACTCACCACTAAAGTATATTGACAAATTAGTTATAGAGCAGCATGTGTAGTAGGCTCTCTAGAACAGCATCTCCCCAGAGACTAAACATACCTGAACTTCCTTTCCTTCAAGTAAGCCCCAAAGACCTGGTTGTTTCCCCAGCCCTTTGGCTAGGATGGGTTGTGTGCCCATTATGGGATTGGTTTTGCATGTTTATAGCATATGTCTTTTCCCTGTTACGATCATCTTTTGTTTTTATTTTTGGCTTTTTATGGTACTGCATTGGGTTGTTGTTTTTAACTTTGTAATTAACACCACCCAGAACTGATAATGAGGTGGGTGGCTGCAGAAATCTAAATTACCAAACAAACAAACGAGAGATAGCACATAACCTTTTGTGGAGTTATTGTTTCAGAAATATTGCCTTGACTTAAATCTAATTTAAATAAAAATATCACATCTGAAAGAGAGATTTCCAGGCAATTAACTTTAAATTTAATTTATAACAAATTTAAAACAATTTTTTCTGTAGTTTTTGAACCTATAAGAAGTCAGAGTTAAAATGGACAGCACTGGTCTGTGTACTTGATAGAATTCTTGCTGCCCTTTTTCTGTGAGGAAATTTGGGTGCTGGACTACAATGTCTTTTTGTAGATATAGGTGGTGTTTTGTACTACTGTCCCCAGCTAAGCTACATATACCAGTTGAATCATCAGTGTTGTACTGAAAACTGTGAGCCTTGACAATCCTGTGAATCAAATATTGTGTGACCCATTGGCTGTTCAACTATCAATAATCCTTTTTATGTCCTGGGGAAAAGTTTATGTGTGCTTTGACTAATCTCAACCTCTTTCTTTTTTCTGAGGGCATAATTTAAGTTTTACTAGCTTCCTTTACTGTTGTCATTATCTTTATTATGGCTTATCTTTTGCAGCTTTTAATGGAGTGTGGTAACAACAGTAAATATAGAAAATTCCCTTTAAAATTACAACATCTGGTTCCCTAGTTGCCTGTATCATTTTGGGGGACAGGGAGAACCTTGATAATTCTAAAAATGAAGCTGAAAGCAGCGTCTTCCTGAAATTGCAAGGAATTTGAATCTCTGATTGTACCAGCTGAGAATATAAAAATTACAGCTCTTCAGAATTTATATAAAAGGGAAGTAGACAGTTTTTCTCTTAGTTTTCATTTTATACTGTCAAATTTCAGCAGAGTATCTGATGATTTTTACAATTTCTAGTCTGAATTCCAGTTGAGTCAGAAATTACTAGGTAGCCTTGAGCAAAGTGTCTAATTATAACTCTAGCAGCATGAAATGGATTAACATTAAATTCAGAATAAAAATGATTTAACTTCCAGTTATATTGTAGGATATATGAACATTCCCTGAAAATGAATGTACTCAAAAGTACTCAATAAAAAGTGGTAATTCTGGTTGGCACTTAACAATCTATGGCAGTATGAAGTGCCTATACAATTTTATGTTTATTCTAGAGGATTAAATCAACTTCACAAATAAAATTGCACTTTGAAAAATGAACCTTTCTCTGCCTTCAAACCATGAGTGATGTGATATGCCAATGCTAACATAAAGATTGACTCAATAGATGCTCATCGTGTCCTCCTTACTTCATCAAGTAACTGTATTTGAATATAGTCTATTTTATTACAGCTGAATGCAAATGGAGACAGAGGCTTTGAGAATGTGGAACTTGGAGTCATGGGAAAAAAGAAGAAAATTCCAAGAAGGGTCATCCACTTTGCAAGTGGTGAAACTATGGAAGAATATAGTACAGATGAAGATGATGAGCAGCAAGAGAAAAAAGATCTGTTGCCTTCTGTTGATCCAGTAGGTTCTTCTAAGTTTGTTTCAAGTGATATGCTTCATAGGCTAGGTCACCAGTATATGCTCAGTTTTAATTTTTTGTAGAAATAAAAATCCATTAACTCTGTTGTTAATATATTCTTTCTAAAGAAACAGAAAAAAGTTGATTTGTTTGCTTTTCAAATGCATTCTTTCAGAGCTCAATTGGCCATGGCATTAGGCAAACCACATTTCATTCAGTCATAAAGTGTCTCTCATTTGCAACAAAAGGCTAAACCTGAATGATTTTACATGTCTGCTTTTATGGATTTCTGAGATGATGGATTCAGAATATCATAAGCAGAATTCCCCTTGTGCAATAGCTTTCACCATCCAATACCTCTAAACAACTGCTCTGAGTGATTGGACTCTCCAGAACAATGTGAAATATGGTATGAAAGCAGAGGAAGATCAAAAGAAATTGCACCTTGTGTGTGAATTGGAGCTCAGGATCAGTGTGTATAAATGTTTTCAATATGAAAATGGATATGATTTTTTTAGCAACCATATTTTCTTGATTCAAGAAATGTCGTTAGTATTGGTGGCTTTAAAAAAAGGTCTATATTTAATTGGTGTCTGGATGGGAGTCTGAGAATATTGTTGATGTTATCTTCAACTCAGAAAAGGTAACATAGGATATTAATGAAAGAAGTTCAGTGGGTTTCCCAAAATCAAATTTGCAGCATAAATGAAAAACTGACACTTTATTGCAGGCAACACTGACATGGGGACCTTATTTATGGTTTCAGATGCTAAGAGTAGCCACGTCGACACTCTCAGGTATGAGTTTGTTCAGTTTCTATATGTATATGCATACAATAACTTGATAAGAATCCAGTGACATATGCAAGCCAGTATAATAGTAATATAGGTTGATGGGAGACTGAATGAGGTCCTAGAATCATGTTTCTTGGAAGGGAAATAATGTTGATTAAATAATACCATGCACTGTTAAATTTTGCTCTTTAGCCAAGAGAAGATACTCAGATGAAGTTCTGAAAACACTAATTTCATTAGTCACCAGACCTATTCAGCGTTCATTAAAGTTAAAAAACAGGCATTAAATGCTATTTCTCTTCACAGAAATATGTTGAAGCAGATTATGAAACATATACTTTTCAGTCTGCATATTTCAATGCCTACTATTCACCATAAACTGGCATGAGTAAGTTGTACGTTAATGTGAAAAAATATTTCAGTGACATCTACCCTTTAGTCTCTATAAGTAAGCCTTCTGTTTTGCTTTATTACTTGATTGAAACTGAGATGGGTGGAAGTAAATTCAGATCTTTGTAAAAGTTCACTGGATAATTTGCAGTAGATCAGGAATAATTTCTAACTCCCAATTAATTTTTATATAGAAAGATTATGAGGTGTACAGTTCTGATACTCAAAACAAATTCCCAAGGTCAGAATTTCTTAATTCCAAGTGACTGTGTTTTGTATAAGGCTGTAGCTGGAGCATAAATGTTGGAGTTTGTGGGAAGCAAGAACAGATTCTTCATGCTTAAAGTCTGTTTGCTGTTGGTTTAACAAAAAGCTTATAATGTAATAAAGGCACCACAAATCTGTTGTTTTTGCAAACAGTAACTAGCTCACTTACCTTACACCCAGAAATTTGTGTAACTAAAATTAAGAGGATCTGCTCCAAGTGTCTGATGGATCTAGAGGATTTCTGAATTGCCTGAAGCAAGCTACAGGTAGTCCTCACTTAATGACCATTCATTTAGCAACCGTTTGAAGTTATCATGGCACTAAAAAATAATGACTGGTGCCTGAATTTATGATTGACACAGTGCCCTCATGGTCACATGATTGTGATCTGCGTGCTTGGTAACCAGCTCGCACTTAGGACAGTTGCAGCATCCTGGGGTCACATGATAACCATTTGCGACCTTCCCAGATGGCTTCTGGCAAGCAAAATCAATGGGGAGCCACATATGATTCATTTAACGACCGCATTCCTTAAAGACATGATTTTAAGTGAATATTTCACCACCACCGCAAAGAAGCTTGTAAAATTGGGTCCGGTCACGTGATGATTCCCTTAACGACTGCATCATTTAGCAACCTAACTTCCAGTCCCAATTGTGGTCATTAAGCGAAGGCTACTTGCATTAATAAAATTCCCTCCCAAATGACTTCTTTCTGTGTACCAATCTTGGGGTGTTCCGAGGTATTCCAGGGAATGAACAACGAAAGCGATTCCTATAGTGTCGTTGGAAAAGAACTAGAACTGAATCTGATCAAACATGTTACACTTACTTATTTTGTGAGCCCTGCACTAGCTGCCAGTAGGTTTCTGAGTGCAATTCAAAGTGTTAGTTTTGACTTATAAAGCCCTCTATGGCCTGGCACCAAGGTATCTTTAGGATTACCTGTTCCAACTAGATTTGGCTCCCATCCAAGATGAGACTTCTGGGAAAAACTGCTAGTGGTGCCCTATTTTTATGAGAAGAGGGTCAAGGCCTAAAATGTTGCTTTTCAGTTATGGAACCAACACTGTGGAACAGCCTCTCCCTAGGTTGGCCCTTTTGATTCTGGCATCCTGGAAACTGGGGAAAAAGTAAACTTTTCCAGATAGCTTGTGGAGAGTGATTGACACCACTGTATTAGCAATTTCAGTTTATTATTTACACTGATTTATATTTGTTAGTTTTTGGAGTGGGGAGCCTTAATACACATGAGTTGCATTATTGTATAACTGTCCATACTCTCACTTCTCAGATAGTGAAAAAAATAAAAACAAAGTACTGCACTAATCACAAAAATGTTGCTTTTCCCCAAATTACAGGAATGCTTCTGGGCATCATAAAGGTGCCATAGGCATTCTTAAAGAGACAAAAAAATGATGGTGGCTGTAATCCAGTTTTGTTTGGAAATATGCCCATCTGCCCTGAAAAAAGGCACAGTTGCATGGTTTGGGTGCCTAAATAATCAGCTGGCTTGCATTCTAATTAGTGTTTCATGACTAATCATGCCCACCGTGGCTATCATGTTGTGAAAATGCCTATAACATGCTCATAAAGTGTTGAATTTGTGTATTTGTCTAAAAGTCCTCTCATTTGTGAATGTGGCCCGAATGTTAATTGGAACTATGCTCAAGAATTAATTTGCAACATTCATAACACATCTATTTCATTTTTTCAGTGTGTGACTTCCTTGGTGAAAAGATTGCCTCTGTTTTGGGCATCAGTACACCAAAATACCAATATGCCATAGATGAATACTACAGAATGAAAAAGGAGGTATGCTTTTTTTTTTTAATCCTTTTAACAGTGTAGATATTGCAAACATTTTTTCTGAAAATGACACTATGTTAATTTAATTGCTTGATAGTAGGAATGTACAGAGAACATAAAATAGATTTGTTTTAAAACAGAAACAAACACAGAGCACTTGCTGCTACAGCTGAACCATTCTGCATGAGCTGTGATTTGCCAGGAATAAAATCCAGGACATTTTTGTTGTTCAGAGTTTTAGATGAAATAACATTCATAGGCATCCTGGAGTGATTTACTGAGCAAGTAGGGCAAGGCTGCTTTGCATCACCCCTTCTTTCCCTTCAGCAGGTGTCAGTGTGGTATGTCCTGCTGATCTGCCCTACCTCCAATCTTCTTTTCCCTCTCTTTCATCCTCTTAGCTGTTGCTTGGGATGTCCAGTGTGGCATATCCTACTGGCCTGCCCAACTTCCATCTTTGCAAACAATTTCCTTTTCATCCCCCCCCCCCGCATGACCATTACAAATGTCCTTGGCTTTCTCCTGCTGTTACCCCCACTCCAAACACTTCTCCTTAGAACTACTGACATATCAAGAACAAAATAGTCCTGTGTCCAGATGCATTCCATATCTGGACCAAACATGCATGTTTCGTTTGGGTATGAACCATCTGAAAACTATTATTCCAAACCCAGAATGGTTCATGCAGAAGCCATTTCATATATCCATACTTATAAAGAAATGTTAAGGATATTTTTCAGTAGTGATCATCATGGTGATGGCCATTCTGATCTTGTCAACCATGACATTTGTATTATCATTTCATTCAGTATTGGAATTTATTTGAAAGCGTTGCAGTATTATTTGATTTGATTTATACCCACCTTTCTGCTTTGATAACTGCTCAAAGTAGCTAATAAAAGTTTAAAAACAAAAGCAAAATAAATATTAAATTAAAATTTATAATAAAATAAACACTGAAGGCATTTAAAACCCCAGTGAAAGAGGTGTGTCTTTATAGAAACAGAGTGGGAGTCAAATGGAATTCCTGCAGGAAGATGTTACATAGATTGGGAAGGTTCCTTCCTGTATGCAAGAGACATGGTTTTTTGACAGCAGATGCATTTTCTCGTACAGATCTGAACCAGGCCAATTCATTCAGTGAGGACATCATATGAATTCTGTACCTTGCATCATCAATTAGCAGCTTAGCTGACATATGTTCTAACCTACAATTCTGGGCACTTTTTGAAGGTAGTTCTATGAAGAACACCTACAATGGATTGCAACAGTGATGTCGTATTTTAAGATATTCGACAGAAATAAAGCTTGTTGAGAAGTAACCTCTTTTAAAATATATGGATTCTTTTTAGGAGGAGGAGGAAGAGGAAGAGAACAAAATGTCAGAGGAAGCAGAAAGGAGGTTTCAGGAACAACAGAAGCATAGTCAAGAAGGGATTGCTGTTCAGACAACCCAGCCGAGGGATACAGCCTGTAGTACATTCATGAATCTCAATTTTGAAACTGAAGACGACCATCAGTCTGTTGTAGGAAGTAAACGAGATTTTACTGCAGTGTCTGCTTAGAATGACATATAACAATACCATTTCTTGCATTGTCAAACATTTGTAGGTCCTTTTTTGCATGTTCAATGGAATGTAATTTATTTAAAAGTATGGCCATAAGAGAGCTATTAATATTACTGTTTCTTCAGTCCATCTCTGTCTAATAAAGGCCAAGACGTCTTGCTTAATCTATTATGAAATGCAAATAATTGGGTCCTATTTTGACCTTTCTATGCAGAACAAGTAAAAGGTCTTTCCTGAGCATCCGGTGCCTTGATGATAGTTGTGGACTGATAACTCTGCTTCTTTATAATTTAAAAGTCTATTATGTATTCATAACATTACTGAAAGCTAGGTGGAAGTTTTAGACTAACTGGAAAATAGGCACCTTTGTGATTTAGTCTAATTACACTGTTGCACATGTGTATAGCATGTCCAGCAGCCATCTTATTCATGTGGTTTTGTTAATGCCTGTTTAAGTAATGGTCTAAAATTCGTCTGAAAATTGATGGACAAGCTTTGCAAGTTCAACAAACAAGGATCTAAAGAGTACCAGTTGGCTGACATTATATCTCAGGCTTTACGAGATGTGATAGAAAAGAATTCCACTATTCCAAAGAGTTGATGCTTAGTCTACATCAATATAGAAGGTGGTATGTTGATGAATGTAAACACTGAGCAAAATTTTACAAATGAATGTGCCCTTCATGAAGTATGATTATTAGTACTGTATGTTCATTGCTTCATACCTACCACTATTCTGACCTTAAAAAACAGAATCAATCACATGGTAAAATGTAACATCTTTGAAATGTTTATTTTTAATTGGAAGAATTGCCTTTTATGACAATTGTGAGTTTTCAAGCTAAAAATCTGTTCTTCACCCTGAGAAACACTGAAAATCTACTGTAAATGGAAATTTTCTGTAGGACAATCCAAAAAACATCTGCACCACAAGGTATATAGATAAGAGATCAGGGCCGAAAGGGCTATGTGCATGTGGCGTAAAGTGTGAGGCATAAAAGTGGTATTCAGAAAAATTGTTCTGCTCCCTAAGCACTTTCTGGGTGTAATTACACACTTCAGTAGTTTAAAATTGTCTCTTTAGTCTCTTCTTAAACATATAATTTGTATAAATCAGCTGGAATTTAGAAACTGCAGTATCCTGTATAGTGCTAACAGAGTACAGAAAAATGGCATAGATAGTGAATACACCCTCTTGCCTTCATTGTCCTAAGCTGATCAGGAGAAATCTCACCTAGTGCGCTGCTCCTTCTTTTGGTACTTTTTTAAATGCTTGGACAGCTTTCTCTTAATATATGCATCCATTCTGGATTAGAAAAATGATAGTTGTCAGCTATAAATTGTGTAACATAATTATTCAAATCACTGTACAGGATAAAAAAACCTAAAAGGCAACATAGTTAATAAACTGATTACCTTGCTCTAATTTTTGCTAGTCAGAAATGTTCCTATTATATTGAATAGGGTAGGGTTTGTTGTCATGAGGTTCTTCTAGTCATTGTGCCTTACCTTTTAATATTTTTTTCAGAATATGCAAATGATATAAAATGTTTCTTTTCTTGTAAATGCATTAAAATGTATATTTAATATAATTATGATAGTTGAGTCCATGGTTGTTGTAACAGGACTGACAAATGATGTTAGATATCTATTAATAATTGGAGCAAAAACAGTGCCAAAATGTTCATCTTCCTATGAACTGATCCTGTATTTACAAGATCTAATCTGCATTGAATATAGCAGGATTTAACCAACTGCATGCAATTAACAAGACAGTGTCTTTTTAAAAAACATATTCCATTTATTGCCATTACATATTGGAACACTCAAGGCTTCCAGTGTGTTTATAAAACATGCTGTGCCTAATCCCCTAGCTAACGTATGCACCATCATTTTACATTTCACAACAACGTTTTACCCAGTCTTAAATTTATTGTATCACCCACCCTTGAAGCTTAGGAAAACCAAAATTTTACTCAGGACTAGGTTAAGATACATAATAAGCTTAAGACCTGGTTTAAAAAACTGCATCCGATATAGGCAAAATGAAGTACGCATCATTAACCAAGCATTTTAACTCACCATGCTTTGCATTTATGGAATTAAAGTATTATAGTATTTTATACCACCGTTCTTTAACCTGGGATCTGATCCAGATAACAGGGCCATATTGCTACAGTTGTTCAACACTTCTGGAAGACAACTGGTTGGGGAAAATTTATACTCATAGGTGCTTACTAGTCTTTTGTGGAAATGAGAGTGCTGTTTGACTGTGTTTAAATATGGTCCATCTGATAGGTACTATTTACTTGTTAATTTTTAGAATTAAATTGCACATTCGTAATTACACACAGAAAGGAAAAATATTTTAGGCTTTGTCTTAGCAATGGCAATTCAACAGTACAAAACTGGAATATTCAAGAAAATTCCCAAAAGATATAACTTGTCTAAAATGCAGTATGGCTTGCTACTATAGGTTCAGAAATGATTTAAATAATTACCAACAACTCTTTAAACATTTAATAACAGGTTTTCAGTAAGTGTTTTTTAAAAACTCAAATGAGATTCATTTCACTTTTTTTTTTTTAAAGATGTCCTTCTGGAGTTATATGGAAACTTCAGTGATATGTGTAATGAATTTGCTTTTCAGCCTCAAATAGTCACTGTATCAGTTGGGCATATCTCCAATAATACAGTCTATTCCTGTTAAATCATGTATCAACAAGATCTGTTGTACTGTCATTATCACTGGCTACAAGAACTTCTCTGTTCTCATAAGTCCAGAAGCCGTTAAGATCAATTAAAATACTGGTGACTGTATCTCCTTGACTACTATTGATTAAATCTTGAAGTGAAATCTTGTAAGGATCCTTAGGTTTTACCATATCAAAGATTTCATCCTAGAAAAACAAAAACAAAATATTAACAATTTCCTTGAAGAATGTCATGGTATAAGCTTATACACCCTTACAAAACAATTAAGTTGTTTAATTAAATGTCTCCTTATACCTTTTTGTTCTTATGAACAGTATAAGACCACATAGCACGAATACAATGTGTACTAATATGCAGTAAGTAAGATGATCTGGATAGAGATGTGTGAGCTCTGTTGCCAAGATGACAAGGGGCTGAAGCATTTTTTAAGTGCAGAGCAACAACATAACATTTGGAAGCTGCTTGGGCAGATGTCTCCCTGATTCATTAAAAATATAAGAAGGGGCAAGAGGTACAATACAATCAGACTTGCAAGATTCTGCTATAGCCAATCTCAATAAAAGTAATTTTAGCCTTCCTGTGGAGTTGATTATCTGCTCTGGTCTACCTAGAAGAGCTGACAGCCCGCTTGGCCTTGCCCTCCAGCTTTGGAGTAGCAGTTTGGTCATTTCTACTGCCACCATTTATCTTCCAGAGGATACCTTATCTCTATGGAGTCCTTGGTGCTCTCTGAGCTTGGTTGCTTGCAGATGTTTCATTGATGATGTTACCTAGTTGAGTAATGAAACATTTGCAAGCAAACAGCCAAGCTCAGAGAGCACCAAAGACTCCACAGTTCAACCCTGAGCTACAGATATTCTCTTCTATTGACATCTTATCTGGCACCCTCCCTCTAGCTCCTGTGTATGAGAGATAGGAATCTTACACCCTGTGCTGCCTTTTTGGTAATTACAAGATTAAAATGCATAACAATAACTGCAACAATAACAATATAATTATATTTCCATTATTATTTCAATAGTGCAACAACCTGGCTATGAAGTAGCATAGGGGTGTGTGACCAGATGTTTCAATCTTCTCTCCTTTGGAGAAAGACCAACCTCATTATTAAACTTTATTTAAAGAGAAATAATATAAAATCCCATTTTTGAATATTAAAGTGCAACAATCAAACATGAAGAGGATAGTTTCCATCAACTTTCCAGATCATTATAAAGCAGTGGCTACCTTGAAAAAAATATACAAAAGAAAATGCAATGCCCCAGGCAGACCACAAGATGGCACTGGTTGGTTATAAACATAGCAACACTGATCAGGTACTTTAAAAGGTTTCTATGAAAAGTTTCAATTATTGTTGTGGCCCTGCTAGAGAAAGTGTCTTCAGATAAGGAGGAAGTGGAAGAAGTGAAGCCAGGAATGTCAAGTGTAGTAGCTTTATTACTGGAGTACTGGAGCCAGTGACTCCACACTGACTTTGACACACCCAGTTCAATGGACCCCTTGCCTGCACCCATTGACAACCGTCAGACTCAGAAGTTTAGGCAGAAGTGCAGCATCAGAGAACTGAACTTCACAGATCTAAGAGGCTAGCCAAAAGGCACGTGAGTGCTAAAGAACAGACTACAGCTACTGTTTGATGAGTCTCAACTATGCAGTAGGTAGAGGCTCAGTATGGCTTACTTATTGTGCTCACTCCCTCTGAACAGTGCTGAAAACAACTTCTCTAAAACTTAGCTCTTGCGGGACTTCCAAGGAAAAAATGGCGAACTGGAGCGGAGCCGACGACAGTGGTGGAATGAAGTGGACTGGTTCTTCGTAATTCCTCTCTGGACAAGGAGAGGACTTGAAATTGCCCACAAGTGCTCAACACAACACTCCTCGTGAGGAGACCACAAGACAGAGGTCTCCGGCAGGTTTAGAGCTCTGGGAGATGAGGGAATAGCCATCTTGCTCACAACTGAGGTCGGGGTTTACCAAAGGACACTGGATTTGCATACTTCTTTTTCTAATCACTTTCGGAGATTGCTTCTTAACTGCTTTTAAGCTATTAGGAACCTTTTGATTGATACGTTTTATAGCACTGGGTAAGTTTCCTTCAATATTTAACAAAAGAAGTTTTAAATACAAGTTTAGGATTTTTAAAAAATTATTTTGGAATAAACAGCAAAAGGATGATTGGAACTTTGATTTTGGAATTAATTATAAGAATCCTTCCCATGGGAAAATGTTTTTGTTTTGAATTCTCTTGAAAAACATGATAGGATGAGACTTTGAAGGTTGGACACTAGAGGGAATCAGAAAGAATTAAAGATTACAATTAAAGAATACTTAAATTTGAGTTACTAATACAAAATGAAGCAAAATATTTTAACATTGGACATACTGAAGGATATTTTTGAACAATGGACCCACAAGTTAATTTTAAGAGTGTCTGCCTCTATAGATAGACTGTGTTTCAAAGATGTTATGAAAGAGGAACAAATTTTACTGGATAAGATTGAGACTGCTCTGAAAGTGGATTTAAAAATGACAGGCTATAGGAATGATATTGAAAAAGAAAGGACAATGAAAAAATGAAAAGAAATCAAATTGTAAGACATTATTTGAAGGGACTAAAGATCAAGATTGTTAAAAGTAAAAGGAAGGAATATAAAGGCTTATTTGATCAAGGTTAAAATAGATATGTTGTTATCTCTGGTAACCCTTAATGGCTTTTGCTGATCAGGACTGAAATGATGAGGCGTTAAGGATTTGTTTATTAATAAGAGATGGGATATGGGAAGAAGAGATCATTTGTTGCATTTTAAGAGAAGGTGAGATGTTACTAAAATTGTTTATACTTGTTACAATGAAGGGGGAAGTCATTTCTTTATATATTTATTTTCTATTTTTATTTCTATTTTTTTTCTTTTTTGCACTTTTTCTTTTTTTTGTTTGTATTAGTTTTCATCTTCTTAATTGTAACTTTTAATAACATTACTATAAACAAATAAATAAAACTTAGCTCTTGCCTGTGAATAGCTTGTCTGCTGTGTTTTGAACTAGTTACTTGTCTTGATCTGTCCCTTGCCTATTGGACCATCGGTACAACCCTTCTTCAAAGCTACCAGGGAAGGACTTTTTCAAAGACTGCTTTACTTCAGCTAGCTGTGATACAGCCTGAGCTTGCTTAACTCAGACCTATAACAAATATATAGTCTTTTAATTTATGTCCTGGCAACCAGCTGTGCCATCACAAAAAAATTGTACTACAAATTACAGTATTATTTTTTAATGCACAGTCTAAAATATGAATACGACAGGCAGAGATTAAACACAAGTCCCAAATTTATGTGCCATGGATGTTATAGTTCTGTTTTAGAAGATTTAGAAAAATCTTGTAAACTGTCAAGAGTCATTTTTTACTGTGATGGAATATATATGAAGTAAAAAATTAAAATAACTAAGTAAAGTAAAACACAATATAATAAGATGAGTTAGCAACACACAGAAAAAAATTAAAACTGTACTGCAAATTTGCTTTGGAAAATTCCAGATTATACTGGCAATTTTCAAAGCAAAAGTTCCTCTATTTCATTTACCTGGAATTTCACTGTATTCAGAGGTTGCTCAGATGGTAAACCCTAATTCTTGTCTAGCCTCAGTCCACAGACTTCTGCTGCAGATCCATACTTGGCTTCTGCCCTTGGATTTTAAAAGATTCCAAAATCTCTATCTCCAGCAAAGGGAGAAGCTGGGATAATCTGACCAAAAACCACGCCTCACTCATGGATATGGATTCTGTCTTAGCCTTTCTGGTGTGTAGGCTGGCCAGCTGTGAACGTCAGGATCTACAGCCTGCACATTCGTAACAGGCTACCAGAGCTATGTAGTGAGCTGCTCATTGCAAATGTTTTATTCTTTTATGCAGGGGTGCAAAAAGTGCGGCCCAGATGGTACATGAAGGCTGCTAGTATCCCTTTTATGTCCTGAACAACTTGCCTTTTATGATTTTAATTTTTTTTTTTTTGAAGTGAGGTAATTCTTTTTCTTAGAGCCAGTTTGGTGTAGTGGTTAAGGCATCAGGCTAGAAACTGGGAAGCCGTAAGTTCTAGTCCAGCCTAGGCACAAAGCCAGCTGGGCCAGTCACCCTCTCTCAGCCCCAGGAAGGAGGCAGTGACAAACCCCTCTGAAAAACCTTGCCAAGAAAACTGCAGGGAGTTGTCCAGGCAGTCTCTGAGAATTGGACAAGAATGAATGGATTAAAAAAAGAAGAGCAAAAGGGTGCCTTAAAGATTGCACATGCATAAGAACCCTCTCCCTAATAATACCTACCTTATATCCTAGATAGTATAGTATATACTGTTTTTAAAAAGTTATTGTAATTTAGACAAATATAGCCAGAATGCAATACCACCGAGAAAACCACTTCTTGTGGAATAAAATCAACTTTATGCAACCATAAGATATGTGTATGCATGTGTATGTGTATACATATTTTTACTTTTTATTTATTAATCAAATTTATATAGCTGCCCATCTCACAAAAAGTGACTTTGGGCAGTGCACAACAATCCATAAAACAATAAATATATAAACAATCATTACATAAAACCCTTATATATAATTATTAAAAACATTAAAAACTATAAAAACAGAATTAAAACAGAAAAGGACTATCAGACATATATTTCAAAAAGTAAGTTCATTAGATATTGCACACAAATATGTTTTGATCAAAATTCTAACCTTGACATCTTGAAAAGAAACTGGATCTTGTCCATGGATTTTCATTTGTTCTTGAATAGCCTACAAGGACAGAGATTAAAGAGATGCATAAAATTTTAAAAATGAGGTTTTTTCAAGGTGAATCTATTATGTACATAATGAAATAAGCTAAACTAAAATTGCAACAGTTATGTAATTTTGCAAAGATGCAAAGTTATACATGTGGCAAATAATCATTTTGCAGGATCATTTGCACAAGTAAAACTGACATGAAAATTGGACACTGTATTTTACTACATTCTACCCAGTAAAGTTAAATACTATCTATCTGTTAGTTACATTCCAGGGACTTAGATCATGGCCCACTCCCAAGAGATTTAACTGGAGATGCAGCAGACTGAACTTGGAATTTTAAATATTCACAGTATATAATACTAAATGATATTTGATTCTGGCCAACATGAATTATTTGGAGAGCTGTGGGTCTGTGTTAAGCCCTATCCAACTCCTTTCAGGAATAGCATGGGTTACATTCAGGTCTTGCACTACAAAACGTGATAAATTTTACCAAGGAAAAAAGGACTGACCATCTGCTCATTCTATTTGCAATAATTCCCAACTCTTAGCCCATTAAAAAAATAATAAAACTTAGAACACCATGCCTCATTGTTAAAATAAGCTTTAACCTCAAACTTTGAGACTATTATGTGAATGCTGGAAGAAAAAAATAATTGGAAGATGAAGGGCCAAACTGTTGTCTATTACAGAGGAATTAATCTGCTTCATGCAGCTAAAAAACCACAGTTCCTGATGTAGTTTAAACCTGCAGAGCATTTATTGTAAAGGCTTTGAAAAGGTTCCAGAGTTTGGGGGAAGTGACTGTGAAAACCTTTGACTGAATTAGCCTATTCCTAGATCATTCACCATCTAATATTTTTGTTTAGTAGCTACCAAATTGGAGAGCAACAATATTAAGTGGCATGCTGGGGTGGGGGGTGGGGGATAGGTTTTTACAAATAATACTTCAGGTTGCTTAATTACTTGAATCTTAATAAAATGTCTTAATGTCTTAATGTGATTTTGACTGTGAAACCACTCCTTATTATCACAATTTCCAAAAGGATTGCTTATTAATAAGGAATATTCCATTTGCTAAAAATAGAAAAAAGAAGATATTAAGTTAACTAACATTTATATTGATCTTGTGAAGGCTAAGATGGTATTTCCAGTCTTAATATTTGCACTGATAGATCTCTGTGAAACTGTTGATTCATTAATCAGTGTAGTTGGGAAGTACTTATTTGCTGGGATTAGTAATCATTCTGTAATTTTTGTTAATCTGAATTACTTCCCAGTCAGTAAAAAAAAAAAAAAAAATTTAGAAAGGGCATTTTAAAATTCATACTAAAAGTTATCATTTAATTAGAAAAGCTTAAATTGCTATCTATCACTAGCAGTAGCTAAAAAACACGCTGTTGACCATTAGAGGTTATTAGCAACTCTTTCCTCAAAAAAAGAAGCTGAGTTTACTGATTCTTTAGAAAAAATCATATTTAACTACAATCACAGCAATATGGTGCCATTATGTAAGATGCTCTGAAAATTATTCTGAATTCTTTTTTTTTTTAATGTAAAATTTTAAATGTTTGTACTTTCAAAAAGTTGACAAAAACCTTATAATAAATAGAGGTACTTTAAAGCAATCACCAGCTGGTTTCTAAGCAAAGGCACAATGGTTATAACAACACATGTACAAAAGAATGACCTACCTTTACAAAAAGGGACTTACCCTAAAGAAATAATTAAGGGAAAAGACATTCAGGTATCCTTTGTTCTCTATATCAAGCAATTTGAAAATATACTGCAAAGCTGCAGGTTCCTTTCTGTTTTCTAATGCAAGTACAAAGTCCAAGTACGTCTTATAGTCCTAAAAGCAGATGCAATCATGTTTATTATAGTCCTCTTTTTAAATTGATTTTGCAAGCAAACCATAATTGGTGACTATTTCCTTGTAGGAGAGCAGTTAGTTTTTAGTGAAAGTCAGCATGAAATAGAAATGGCTGCTGAAGGAAAAAAAGTGAACAGAAAATGCTGTTTTACTGGCTAAGCAACATAGATTTTTATCAAAGCTACAAGAGAGTCGCTCAGAATTCAAATTAAACAAACAAATGTGTACACAGTAGATTAATCTATTGCTACTTGTCATTCCACTGATGAGAGCTGAACAGTTACTAGGTTAGGGCAATTTTAAAATATTGTTTAAGACATTCGCTATAAATGTTTTTTCAGCATTTAAGAATCATTACTGTTAATGGCAATGGTTCTACATTATAAATAATGTACAGAATTTGCTTTCTACCAGATTCTAGTTGTGTATAAGCCAGTATAAATTCTCTACCAGAAAGTGAATACATTTTAACAAGTCCTAAAAAGCATGTAGATATCCCATGTTTTGGACTACAGATGTCATAATCATTTTCTACAAGCCATGCTCTTGGGGTTGATAAGAATCAAAGTCCAAAACTCCATCTAGAAAATTAAAAATATGGCCTATATTAAAAGGAAATTCTATAATCCACATTAGATATATTATGCTTGTGCATTCATGTCAGTTAATTTCAGATTATAAATTGTTCAGTGTTCCTGCTTTTGGCAGAAAAAGGGAAATAATGAAGAACCTACTGTCCTCCCTTCACAATGAGGTTTCTTCTTCTCATTAAGAATGCAAAGTCAGTTATGAAAAATACCATGTGTGGGTTTCAGCTGCCAGTGAAATGTGAATGTTTCCTTCATTCTATTTAGTTAATATGCATTTTATGTTACAGCCTTTAGAAACTACTGGAGATCAATTAAAAAAGAAAACATTGTTTCATGAAACACAGTATACTACTACTATGTATGAGTGGAATACCATTTCTCCATCATAGGTCAGACACTCCTGGAAGACCCGGTCCAAAAAGATGTTGGTTAGTGTCCCTGTTCCATATCGAGATAATTCCTCTTTGCTAAGCATGCCATTGTGATCTTTGTCAAGGTTTAAATATTGGCCTGCAAAGGATGGGGAAAAGGGGGAGATATACATGAAAAAAGAGAGAAATGTATCTTCTGTGCCATTTTACAGTTAAAAAATAATGAGGAAAGATGTGTAACAAGCAATCTGCATTTATTCTGAGTTTCATGGTATAAACATATATACCATAACATATATATTATGTTTAATAGTAACCATATTATGGTTAATAGTAAAATGCTTATTGCAAACCGCTTGCTTGACCTACCATTGAAGTTAGAAGGAAGTGGGGG